TAATTTTTAGTTAGTAAATGTATTAATTTCTTTGTTATACTTCATGAAAAATCAGTATTTACTCACATACATACAAACATAGGCGGAACTACGGCCTAGACCAACTAGGTCTTGGCCCAGACGAATCGCGCCACAGTACAAGTAATGAATTAAATGAATATAATAATGTAAAATATATGTAATAATAAATAATAGTACATAATAATATTGCATATTAATATATTATACAAAAAAATATGTTTGAAAATAAGTAAAAATGTCCAAAATAAATATTATGATTAGCTGAAATTATTAGCAAAAGAATCTAAAATTCCGAACATATTGTATTAATTTTTAGAAAATGTAATATAACTTAAAATGCATGAATAATATTATAGTGTTATTTATATTTTTTTATCGTTTTTGCTCAACTTAAATGGTCTCAATAGTCAATACTCTCAATTAATTATAATGCAGGTACTATAGGCCCATATATATATACATGTTTTGTACAAGCTTTGTATCACTACGGCAAATGAACGTCTAGGCAATTTAATGGCTGATGCTTTCATATATTGAGATATACCACGGCAAAAAATATCAACATCGATAAAATAATCGAATAATTAAAATAAAAAAAAGGTTCTTTAATATGATTGTCGTCTATTATAGAGTCGTCTACTCGTCTTTTATTCATTGATCTTTTAAAATATTCTCTTGATTTTTATAATATTACAATTTATTATATATATCATTTAAAAAAAAGTACCTTTATTGTTTTAATAATTAAATTATTATAAATATTTTTAAACTTAAATTACTTTTAAGCACAGAAGTATAGCAATAGCATGATACAAATATATAACAGCACGTAAGTAATATGTTGAATCAAAGATGATGAATATAATGTGAGAATATTTTATTTTTTGCAAACACACGCTAAACTTTACGGTAAAAATAACGTTTCGTTAAATGAGAAATAGTGTAGTAATTAAAACTTTAGTTTTTGCATTATCTTAAGTTTCGTACCTACACAGTATGTCGATAGCCGATATGATATTTAAAGAAATACTTATCATATCAATATTGCAATTGTTTTATTACGTGTTGTTCACATTTTTATTTATTGTTTTTGTTTGTACATTTATATTTTTATTCAATATGAATGAGTTGTTAGAATTGGTTTATCTGGAAGAGATTACCACCGAAGATGTTAAATACATTTTGATTAATAATTTACTATCATTTAAAAACAATTTTCGTGTTCAATCAACATTGTTTGGTAACTTTGACTTTAAAAAATTAAATTCTGAAGAATGCAAACAACTTTTTAGGTTTGAAAAAAAAGACGTTGAACGACTAAGGTTGAGTTTAGGTACATCAGATAAAATAGTAGTGAAAAACTAGTTATGAATAAACGGTCTCAATAATTTTAATAAGCTTCAAGTAAAATCTATTTAACTTAATAAAAAATATCGCTTAATCCCCCCCCCCCTAACTACGTGTCTGCGCTTATGAATATGATTATGAATTACATTTTTCAAATTAGCACGGTCTTCTTTTGCTCAAATTATCAAAAATATTCAACGTGTTCTTTTATTACTTAAAGAGTAAATTGTTTATTTGACCCCTGAAAAATATTTTTTTGAACGATGGACCATTGTCCAGAATTATTATACGAATTATGACATAAGACTTCTCGTAAAAGGCTCAGTATTAAATCTTAGAGTTCTTAGACGTTCTTTTTTTATTTAATGAGTTCATACATAATATTTTATTTTAATTTATGAATTTAATAAAATAAAATATTATAGGTAGTACATTATTTTTTATATTCAAACGAAAAAACACAATTTCCTTTCTTTAAGTGTTATCAATTAAATTTAATAAGATGTGGTCATTATTTTATCAAAGATATTATAAGAATATTTATAACTTATAAGCTTTCAATAATCCATATTTATTTGATCGATCACTTGATACGACAAATTAATTTACCGTACCCGTTTAATGATTAAAAATAACCGAACCGATATTCGGAGCGTATGCGCACAAACATGTTTTAGTAAATAACGTTAACGGAATGTTTAATCGGTGTTGTGCAAAAAATTCAATCTATTATTTTCTTTTTTAATTTTAATTTCTCTATTAACTATTTATATTCTTTTATTCTTTAAATAACTAATAATACTGTACATTATTCATAGAAATGTAAATTTTTATTATTTTTAGATTTTTTAGTATCCTATATTATTACACTCTTAATCTCTAACGCAAGCTCAGTTTAAAAAAGATAGATAATCATATTATTGTAATTTAAATTATATTGATTAATAAAAAAGAAAAAGAAGTTTGAATTTAGACTATAAACAGAAAAAATTATTGAATTGTAAGTACCTACTCCTATATTTATATTATTACTTTTTTTTCTAAATACCTAACAAATCATAGATACCTACATAATAAAAATATACAAATAAATTTAAAAAAAATTATATCAAGAAATTTTCTTTTCTTTACAATTTATAAGTATGTCTTAGGTACATGCGTGTATGAATTGCTAAGGAGTATTTACCGAATAATTGATACATAAGTATTTGGCACCTGATATTGATATTTATTATGAATATTGATGAACCATACTAAGTAATTTATTAATCACAATTTTTTTATTTTTTTATAATAATTTTATAATAATTTTTTTATATATTATTTTCTAAAGTATAAGTATCATTTTTTGTTATTTAAATATCATAGTAGGTATTCTTACTATTCTTATGATTTATAAATGTAATTAATAATTATTAACATATTAAGTTTTATAATTAAAAAATTATATATCCCTGTATGTAGTTTTAAAAAAAATGCAATCCCTCCATACCACCATCATTATCATAAAACACCAAATAAAAAAAACAATTAGAATTATATTATGTAGGTTTACCATGACATATCATATCAATGTAGGTACTATGTACTATACCTACTACAGTGTTATATATAATAAATTATTTGAAAATTAATTATAGCTAAATACCTACCTAATGTTTTTATTAATTAATGTGTTTAAGCACTCTTTTATTCATAGGCCAAATGTATAATATTATGCATAAAAATTATTAGAATCAAAAATAAGTATAGCTGTTTTGAATCATTGAAATTTTGCAAAAATTAATATAATACTTAATCAAGTTTTTAATGAGATTAGTTGCTTGTGGTAATAATATTATAAGTATCAAATTTTATTTTATTTTTTCTGTAAACAAGTAACTGGTTGAAATTTAAAAATTATAATAATTCTTAAGTATCCAGGTTTAAAAATATTATAAACTCAAATACTTGATGATCCAATTTGAAATTTAAAAATACATTAGTTCTGTAATTTATTAAAAATTAACATAATAGCAACTTATAACTTAAGTTAGTAGAATATATAATGGAACATAATGTAATTGAATTACTTTCTCATCTTTGTCAATTTTTTTTTTGCACCTATGTATTATTTTTATTAAGTATTTATTTATATGTTACAGTTAAGGTGTTAAATTCTGTTATTTAATAAAATATTTAAGTACTTAATTAATAAATTACCTACAAGTCATTTAAAGTATTAAATATTGTATAAAAAAAAACAATTTATTAATCTTTAACTAGTTATTTGATAAAACTATGTAGTTTTCTACAGCATATTAATTTGATTTCTGTTCAAGTATAGTATATATTTAAATTTAAAATGCATTATAATGTTTAATTTATTTTAAATTGAATTAATTTAAATTATTTATTTGTGTTTGCAAGGCATTTAGAGTTATATAATACTTAATTTTTTCTGCAAACACACTTCTTTGTACTACATTTTTTGGTATAATTACACTTAAAAACTCTGACCAATCCCCCAATGATCGAGAAATAGCTACAAATCTTAATGTAATACTTTCATTTAGAACACTTCCTACTGCTAACAAATTTTCTGGACATATATTACTGAGATCAAAAGCATAGTCATTTTAAAATCACTGTAATTATAATAATAGAATGGAGATAGATGAACAAATAGTTAACATACATGAATATGGAACTATAAATCATCATAAAACCTTAATTACTTTATTGACAATCTTAATAATAAGACGATAAACATATATGTGTACCTACACTATTGATAATCTTATAATATGATAAATGTACATAAACATTTCTGTCACTTACAAAAAATACATCAGTCCTATCTAGTTTATTATTATGTTAGACAGTAAAATAAAAATAAATTGTATAATTTAACATATTTATGATATAATTAATGGGAATGTATAAAGTATAAATTGTTTACATTAGCTACACATCTTATTTAGGTGTTAAATAAACTAATTTAACTGTAATATAAATATATATATATATATATTCATTGAATTTGATTTCTATGCTTTCCCACTCACAAATTTAATATTATTAAGAAAACTTTAAAATATATAATATAACAAAATATTTGTTTTCAAAACTTATGAGTTCATTTTTTTTAAATTATTGTACTAAATATTCTTTAAACAATCAATTTAACATATCTTTCAAGTATTGGAGTTATATATTATAAAAGCCTTTTAAACAACATATTTAATAGAATTAATTAGTATAAAATTAATAATAATTATATCTTATATATATATATATATTTAATAAAACAATATATTAATAGAATAATTTAGTATAAAATTAAATTATGGTTTTTTTTTGAATATAATATAATATTACAGATAATAAAGTTAACAGATTGAAGAATTTTTAATTAAAATTATATGAAGTAAGCGTTTAATGAAAATTTTGTAAATAATATACAGATAAAATGTAATTATTTTATACATTAAAAATGTTTGCTATAATACAATATAATATTATACTTGTTTTGTTTTACTTAATGAAATTTATTTTAACTTGAATAATTTTTAATTGAACTTAAATAATAGATCTAAAAATAAACAATAAAAAATAAAAAATAAAAAAAGTATTATTATTATTGTTGTTGTTTTAATATCAATCAGTGTTTACAAATTAAATTAAAATTAAACAAAAATGCATTTTCTATACAGTATCTGGGAAGGTAGAACTATTTTTTTTTTTTAATTTTGCTGATATTTGTGCCATACTTAATGATTTCAAAAGTTTTTCAATTTCTCAGTCAAAGCCATTTTAGAATAATTGAACTTTTCCAACTGTTACTAAAATATACATTAAATAAAATAAATTATATCACACTAAACTTAGATAGATAAAACTTTTTATTTACCATAATTTTCAAAATATCTTGACTAGACTATCTTAAAGACTTATAACACCATATCACAATTGAAATTTGTACATATCCTTAAAAACTCCTTAGCATAATCTGAAATTACATTAAATTTATAAAAATGATTATACATAGCTCTAATTTATATTTTAATAATATAAAAGAAAAATAATATTATTATAATTTTTTAAATTTCATAATTTGTTTTCTACTTTTCTTTCAATGGCTACAATATTTTTATACCTCAGTTTTCATTATAAATGTGTCTATAAAATAATGAGATCAAAAAAAAAATATACAAAATCCATACTTTAAATCTAACATAATAATAATAATAAAACTAATTAAACTAACATAAAATATAAGTTTAATAAAATAGAGTATCAAAGCAAAATGTAAATGTAGTAAATGGATACAAATAAAAATTATTTTAAATTGCAAAAAGTACTATTTTTAAATTGTAAAAATACATATCAACTAAGATACACATTTATACAATATTTTTTATTGACAAATACTATTTAGGAATTAGTATGGAATGTAAATAATTGATAAAAAAAAAAAAAAAATACAACCAACTTTAAATAAGCAAGATTACTTTTTTATTATATTTAATTTGAACTTCAATAAATTAAAAATTAAAAACATTTTACTTTAAATAAACTTTAAACTAACTATATTAATTGAATTTAATAAGTTAAAAGAATAGTTAATTTGTAAAGCCTAAAATATAATTAATTGTTGAATAAAAACTATTATTTACGATTGTTTTGACTGTAGAGCATATAACAAACAATACATATTTATTTTTATTCAATTCTGCATTATATTTATTAAAATTTCTTAAATATCTATGACGTATGAACATTTTTTTAAATTAGTTTTAATGAAATGTATAATTTACAAGCAAAAGTTCAAATATTAAAAAATCTACAATCAAATAATAAAATTTTTATTCACACGCCTTTGACAATTATATCTCAATGTAAAAGTATACAATTCTTAAACATAATAAAAGATAAGAACAATTTTGTATTTTTTTTTTTTCTAATATTTAACTAATAAATATAATTATCACAACAAAATTAAGAAAATATATATTAATATTAGAATATTACATGCATTTAATACATTCTTAAATAAATGAACTTTGTTTTTGCTGTTACCGAGTGACATGATTTTTGATTGATGATGTAAGTGTTTAAACTATTTTTAATATTTTTACCGAAATATTTCCAAATATAATATAGTATATATTCAAGTTTTAATTAAATCAAAATTTTCCAGAGCTACCAGCATATCCTAAAAAACAAATTTCAACAACATCAATCTTTTATTTTTATTATTTACAAAATTAATCAAATTATTCTTACATTAGAAAAGAATCATAAGCATAATTATGATCAAATTTAATTATTAGTTATAAAAATTCAATTTTAAGTTGTTTTTACTTACTTCTTCACACTGAGGACATTTTCCTTGCAAATGTTCAAACATTGGTGTACTACCAGAATTCAGTAACCACTAAAAATAATAATAATATTATGCACATTGTTTTTACTTAATAAAATTAAATAAATAATATTAAACAATACCTCACAAATACATGACATATGATACAATGCGTCACATTTATCATTATTACATGATTTAGTTTGTTTTTTTATAGTTGTATCTAATTGATCATAACATATACAACAACAATTCAAATCATTTTCAGTTACATTATAATGTTCCGAGTTATCTTCTTCATATTGTAATTGAAGAGAAGCAATTTGAAATACATTTAGAATATTTTCTTTGAAACTGTTTTCAGTACTCCAAACTAAACTCTAGCATTAATAACAAATGTATATTCATTAGATTTATTGAAAGATATAAGGTTATGTATATATAAAAATGACAATTATAAATTAAAATTCATATTATTATATTAGCTTATTTTATTAGATATGAACTAAGTAGAAAACATTATAATATTTAAGTTAATTAAAGTAATAATAATAATAATATTAGAATTATTACCAAGTAAAACCAAATAAAAATAAATAGTAGTAGTATCATGCTAGATATTTTTCCTTTGTAAGAAAAATTGAGGAATTATAGATATGTTTTTGTGTTTAAGCAATAAACCATGTCTTCTCAGGTTTTAAATTAATTCTTAAATCGCCACTTCAATGGTGGATATTCAGCTATAGTAACAGAATTTAATAGTTAGCATTATTCAAAATCGATTAAGATCAGAAAAAATGATATTTTTCTCAAAAACATATCTATGTTAATAACAATTAAAACCAAATTAATTTGATTTAAATAAATAACCTGATTAACTTCAAAAAATAATGTACTAACTGGATTGATTTCATTTAATCTTTCTTGAAATTTCTCAATAAAAGCTGGAGAACCATGAAGATTAAATTTAGGACAGTTCAAAGGATTTAATGGGTCAACTTCAACTTCAACACATACATGACTATCTAAAACAAAATTTAGATTAAAGACATAATATTACATAAATATATAACTGTTTAACCGACATTAGACTAATTTTGTCTATGATTTATATGCTTAAAAATATAAAAAATATGCTCTTAAAAATTTGTTGACATAATGCAAAAAATATTAAAATTATGCATGAAATAAAATCAAATATATTTGTTGACAAACAATTAAAAGATAAAAAAAAAATATAACCTAAAATAAATTAACTGACTAGAAAATTTTACAAATAAACTCAATATTAAAATCTAAACAAGTTTGAAATATTAATATATGCAGTGATCTTCAAAATCTCCAAAATATGTAAAATAAAAACAATATATTTTTACCTTACTTAGTTATATTTTAAACTTAACAAAAAATATGCATTTTGGTAAAATATTATAATCTTGCTTCATAATAATCAATCATATCATAACCTAATACTTAAAAAAAAAAATTATTATTATTATTTTCACTTACCAATAGGTATTCTATAATTAACATCTTTAAAAGTATAAGATCCTATAGTATTACAGGTTGTTATAATTTCATTGTGAACATTCCAAAAATTATTTAATTCATAAACAACTTTCTTAAATGTTTCAAATAAGTTTATAATAGTGTTCATCTAAAAAAATATATAATTTTTTGTATTTAACATATTATGAATAATCAATAATCATTTACAAACAGAAATTGGGAGATAATTTAAAATGGTTGCATCCAAAAATCACACACTAATAATTTAGAATCCAAAATGGTTGATAAACAAAAGTCACACACTATTTTTAATCGACAGGTCAATAATAAATATGATAAATGTCAAAATTTATTACCAAGTTAACCAAAAAGTTTTATAGAATCACTATATTTTGTTATAAATTGTGATATTCTTTCATCATACCATTTAAAATAAATGACTTTTGTTTACAAAGAAGATGAAATTCTTATTATAATGGTGCATATTCAAATATAGTTTATTCTTATGTTATTATTGTGATATGATAATTTTTTATTTAAATGAATATGTAAATAATAGATGATATATTAAAAATAATAAACAGTTTTAAGTTATTATAAAATGTGCAGTTTTAGATATACTTAAAGTATTGAAAATTGTATAGTTTAACCAAGTAAAAGTATATGATTTGTTCTGTATTTTATCTTAAGTGCACAATTTTTGGATTCATCACTATGAATTAGTAAGTATTGTAAATTATAACAATTAAATACTATTTGACGGGGTTTTATTTAAGACTAGAAAATCACAGAAAATAAATCTCCAAAGTTCCACAGATGTATTTATTATAAATTAAATATTTACCTTTAAAAATAAGTTAGAACTAACTGATGGAATTATAGTTTCAAAACATAATGGTTGTTTTTTAACCATGGGATATTCATCAGGTATAAAAATTTTTATAAAATGATTGTGCTTACACATATCTAATACGTTAAATGTAATGTGTTTTAGATTTTCATCAATTTTATGCACATATTGACCATATAAATTAACTTCTTGAATCAAAGAATAGAATTTTTCATCAACATAGCTCAAGTTCTGCAGGTTTTTAGAAGTATCTTCTTTCCAAACTTTTACCTAAATAACAAAAATAATAAATATCAAGTCTTTTAAGTCATTTACAATAAGTCTATATTCTTTTTAAAGATATAGCCTATAAGGATTTATTTTTATTAAATAATTAACTGGCTTATGGGATTATAAAATTTAAAAACTGGTTGCAAAGAGATAAATTATAGTTCAGTTTTTGGCAAACTTTGAATATTTCAAATTGATTATAATTTATAGGTAGAATTTAATAATTATTAAAATATAATAATATAAGTAGTATAGCAAATAAAAGATCAACATTTATTTTGAAGAATAGGGTAACCAAAAATATCCAGGCAAAATGTCAAATATATATTGTAAATAAAAAATTATAAAATTAACGAATGAATTATGAAAAAAAAAAATGCTCAATCGTACAGTTTTATATTAGTAGTTTTTTGGTAGGTTGATTGGTTAACAGGGTAAAGGTGACAAATACGTGTTTCCTAGAGCCACCGTCAAAATATTATTACTTTTCTTCTTTACGTGAATAGAGTAAACATAATAAATAATAAATTAATAAATAAAATTGTATTACCAAAACTGAAATTAATTCCTTTAAAAAATCAGACAATGAATGAGTTTTCTGTTTAATCTAGAAACAAAAACCATGTTATAATACAATTAGTAAACGGATTTATATGTAAATGCATATTTTTATCAAAATAAGATATTTAAGATTCGATAAGAAATGTTTACAATTTAAATCATTCTAATTAAAATGATGATACTTTTATTTGATATATTTTCACATATTTTGGTATAATTATATATATTTTTACAATATTTTACTAATTTGTAAATATTTTTAAATAATATATTTTATCATTCATACGTTTTCAATCCATGTTGTATTGGATAAAAACAGTTATTTATCAGTATATTGTTGAAAAAAATGCATGCTATTTCAGAAAAAATTCCAAACTTTATTGATTTTAAAACAATCAATAATATAATTAATTGCATACACCCTTCTAAAAATTTGGAATTATTGCCTTCAGATATTATGCGCTTCAAATATACTTCAATTAAATTGGTTAATGTGGAATAATCATTTAGCCATTTGAAAAGTATTTTAAGACCTAATAGGCAACATTTAACATTCGATAATTTAATAATTATATTTAATGTATTTACTTTTTTATTTAAATATTTTCCCACATATTTTATAAATTATACCTCCATATTTATGTACATATTTCTGTATTTTTATTACATAAAAATCCATTTCCTAATTGTAACTTATAAGTAAACAATTATATATAATTTTAAGAACTAAACATAATAAACAGTAGAAATCGGTTTCAAATAGTTTTAAAAACAAATGGATTTTTCAAATTGTGACTAATAACTTTTTATATATATTCAAAATAAGTACAAGTTATAAATAGAAAATGATAAAATAATAAAACAAATTTGATTTTTGTTAGTACTAAAAGATTGTACCTAAAATGATCATACTTTTAATCATAAACTTGAAAACATTAAAACTCATAGAAAGGTGTTTATAAATATGTATATAATATAAATAGTTATTGTGTCTACATCAATACAATAAAAAATAACAATTTGCTCATAATAAGAAATACTCGATAGTAGCTTAGTATTTAACTTAAACTAAACATATTTTAATGTGTAATCATATGAAATCATGCATAGGACCTAGTGTTCAGTTTTTTCTAAGCAGAATCTCATTTTAACCACTCATCATTAAAGTGATTTCTACTGTATTTTGTAAGTCATAAGTATTTTACAAATAAACTACAATATTATTGTAACTCACTATTTCTACTTTTTCATTCAAATCAAATTGATAAAAATTGAAAGCTTCCAATTCTGGGATTTGAATTTTTAAATTGTCAAGCAATGGTATATCAGGGCAATATATCTCTATGTAAATACTATGCATCTGCAATAAATGATTGTAGTTTTTTAATTAAAATATTCAACATTTGTAGAAAATTAAAATCATAGGATGTATATAAATTAACTTACATCTAACAATATATGTCCTTTCCAAGATTTAAAATCTTTACTTGGAATCAATAACGAAAAATTCTCCAACATATCTGGATCAATCATTTTGAATTGTACTGACTACTGGTGTACATCTGTATTACAGTAATAAAAATAAATAAATAAAATTGAGTTACTAAATTAAGTTTGTGTAATTCGCATTTGTTAAAAGCAGTAAGTAAAATTATATTGGTGTAGTTATCCGATGCATATTATCCTACGGTACCGCGTATTGGCGTAATACGTTACTCTGTTGCCATTCGATTCATATCATTGTTGTGATTGTGTTAACAATTATTACGAACAGATATGATTTTTATCAATGTTCATTGTACTCGTAAACTGATGTCGTTACTTCCCTCATCACGATACTAAATGTCACGCACTCACGCGACGAGTATGGGCGATACGGCGACTTTGCCGGGCACTCGAGCGTACTCTTGGGCCTTGGCCCACAGGTCCATAGGCATTAGGCTGGCAGCTGGCTCGCTCTAGAGTTTCGACTCTCAACCGTATAAATACATTATATAGAGATTAGAGTATAATTTCCACTTTTTCTTTTTCGTACGCGCCGCGATCGGCTTGGTTCGTGAAAGGTTTCTCATATTGTATTTTCTCTTTTCGACATCTATATTTTTCATTTTCGTATCGAATAACAAAGTCGACCGCAATACTAACAAAAAAGTTGTCTGTCTTTTTGGGCTAACTTCGTGGTAAATTGTTCTAGTAGATTATGTTTTGTGCTATTTCATGCGATGGTGTCATGAGAAAAATGACATAAAAGTTCTCGGATCAGTCAAATATTTAGTAACATTTACAGGAGAAACCTTGGACTCTGAAAGTTCCGAAGACTGATCAATGAATTATTATTACATTTGTTTGATTTTTTTACTGATCACCATAAAATTTGATTGAAAACGCATGTAAACGTTGTAAGCCATAATTAATTATAAATAATAAGAATATCAAATAGGATTTTGTATGATATTGCTTGCAAACATAATTCATTATGATAAAAGTTAATATCATTTATATATATTTTCAATCAAAATTTCCCAGGTTCGGGAAAATATAATCCAGTAACCCTAGTTTGGAGACCAGTCCTTTTAAACTTTTCGGACATTCCTTTATGGTAATTTTGAATATCATCGCACTTGAAATCATGCTTTGACGAAAAAACAATTCCTATTCACATTAAATTACATCTATAGGGAATGATGTGAAACATATATATATTATAATTATATTATCCATATCTATTAAGTTGAAAATATCTGTACAAACTTACGGTCCCTTTAATGTTATTATTTAAAAATATACTTATTACTTACTAAGTATACATGAACTTATAATTATATATATATATAAGATATTACAGCTCACTGCACTACTATTATAATATAGAAATTAATAATGTTGGACAGTTTAACACATATAGGCCCTGGATATAAAGGACTTTATTTGATCAACTTAAAATCAATAATAGAACTCAAGCGTCAGAGAGAGGTATAGAAGGCACATATTCCCTCCTGAAATCATTTTTTGGATATAGTGTACAGGAATTCCTTATAAGTAATATCATAAATATTCATATGTATAAACGAGATTGTCCTGAGTGATTGATTCATAACCAACGCAGAGGCAAACCTATTATAGCTATTGATTTAAAATTTTAAAATTTCACAGTGCACTTAGAGAGGATTTTTCAAAATTATGATTTTTAAGGGGTTAAAATCAGCAAAAAATAAAATTTTACATATAAATTGTATACTTATATACATCGATGAGTAAGCGCTTGTAAGCATAGGCGCAACTGACCTCTAAAATGTGGGATGCTAAAACTGTTAATATTTTAGTATTTCACTAAAACAATAAAAGCAAGGTATAAAAAATAAGGGGTACTAAATTTGAACTAGGAGATGTTAAAGATCCTTTTATACCCCCCTAGTTGCGCCACTGGTTGTAAGCCATAAGCCTCTAGCTCTCATATTTACGCTGTTTATCGCATGGACAATTTTATGTGGCATGCTTCAAAATCAGTATGCCCACGAGTTAAGTAATTTTGACACCAAATGAAAATACATCAAATATAGTTTATAAAGAAATTGTATAATACAATTGTTTGTCATAATGATTATTGTATATTATATACCCATACAAATGTTATGGGCAAAGCCATAATGGGTAACCACATTAATTTAATCACTAAATGTAATTTAAAAAAATATGTATATGCTATAGCAGTGGTCACCAAATGGCGGCCCCCGAACAAATTTTATCCGGCCCGTAGACAAAGAATAATAACGTATGTTCTCATTACATCCAAATTTAAAATAATACCCATTATATATTAAAAATATGTACTTAAAATTTTGATAGCTCGCAAAAAATTTTCTAATTTATAATGTGGCTCTTCAAAAATATTAATTAGTGACTCCTGTGCTATAGTCTTAAATATACTTTGATTTTTCTCATATGGAATTTAAAAGTTATCACAAAACTATTTAACTTGTTATAAAATAAAATGTTGAATACTTGACAATTTATATTTTTAATAAGCACAAAAAAGAAGAATAAAAGAATAATAACAAATAATTAAAAGTTAATTATATACATACATTTATAAATATAAAACATCATGTAACAAATACATTTGATAAAAAAAATTAAATCACATATTATAAAAAATTAAAGAGTTAAAAAGTTTTTTATAAAATTATATAGAAACAAGTAAATTAATGGTATTTAATTTGTTTTCACAAAAATTAAAATAAGCCACAGCCAGAGCAGACCGTTATCCGAATGAAATTTTATCTAGATGATTGAATAGATAACATTATATTTGAATGGTTTTTTTTACAATTATTCAAATAAAAAATTATTTGAATACAAATGGTTGATAATTTAAAAAAAACACATTAAAAACAATAACTAGCATTGTATTTTAATTTACACGATTGTAAATCATATTTTAATAATAATAATAAAAATGTAAATAAATAAATAAAAACCTTAAATTATTCCAATAACTATCTTTGAAATTTAGTCAAATAATATTTTATTCCAATAACCATAATTAAAAATTATCTGAATAATTTTTTATTTAAATACATATTTATTTGAATAATTATCTAAATAAAATTTTGCACAACTCTGACCACAGTATAATGTCAATTAAATATTATATTTTAGTTTTCAATAATCATGTATAATGTACTTATGTACTTACATTGTAATTTATACTTAATATTTACCTCTTAAATAAATTAATTTAGGCATGGGCATGAGAGTTTAAAATTAGAGCTTTAATTGTGCTTAATCTATTTAATAATAACAGGATAAAAATAAACTAAATATGTTTATTTTAATAATATACAAATACCAATGAGTAGCTCTTTCGCAGCAATTTGCTGAGCATTTTCAATGTTGTCAGCCTCACCCAAACCGTAAACAGAAGGGTCTACATTATTATCAATAGCAAGAATATGTACATGATTATATCTTTTATCAAGTAATTCTACACTTATGGTTTTTGAAATCAAGTGCATTTTACATTCAGTGACAATTTCGCATAAGATTTTAAAAGGTTCAAGTAAATCTAATTCATTATTTTTGTTATACTCACTAACAACCTTATTTAATATATCTGAGTTTATCAATTCAGAATTTTTGAAAAATAAATGATAATTAGTTAAATTTTTACCCATAAATGCAGATGTTTTTGTCTGCTCTAGTTTGATGATTTCAACTTGTTCCAGGATTTTCATGGATTCTGATTCATTTCGTTCCTCTTCCAAAATCAATGACTTGTCAATAGACATTAATTTTTTCATCATCTGAACAGCAGCCAAATGTTTAGCCTGTTTTTTGGTTATGTGTGATGATATTTCAATCAGTTTAGCTACACGACAACTGAAAGTAAATAATTTAGCATGGTCTGGTCCTTCTTCTTTAATTAAATTGAATTCAGGTAATTCCAATTTATATTTTGAACAAATTTCGACCAATTTTCCAACTGAATTCACTTTAACATTGTTATGAATTGGAGAGACCATGCACTTATCTAAATTGCATTGTTTTATTAAATCTGTATTTATTAACTCGGGGTTATCATCAATCATTAGTTTGAGAAGATTTAGGGCTGCTGATTGCTTGGCTTCTTTTTTGGAAAGCCCTAAGCCAACACTAACATATTTACCCAGAGTCAAACTATACTTAAAGTTGGCTTTATTATATAAAACACCATTATGTATGAGATCATATTGAGGAATAAGGCGATATTTTGCTGCATATTCTTCCACAGTGGTAACTGGAGTTTTATAAATTGAACATATATGAGCTGACTGGTCTTGTACATTTAATTCCATAGCTTTATTTATTTTCTAAAAAATAATTAATTAATTAGTTACCTAATAAATAATAATGTATCACATTTTAAAATTAAAAATATGTATATTATTTTCACTGTGATATTTTTATATAAAGAGAAGAGTAGGTATGTATATTTTTGCTGGTAAAATAAGTTAAATATTTTTTCTCATAATCATTACTGGAGAACTTCTTGACAATTCTGGCATACACCATACAAATAATTATACAAATTTAAAATATTGATATATTATTTTAGCTATAGAAAGAAATTAATAATATTTAAACAACATAATTATAACAGTATATTTTTGACCTTTACCAATACTCAAGTATTTATAATCAATGCTTTAACTCATATACCAAATAACTAATAACATATATTTTTTTTAATGTATATAATTGAACAAATATCGTACATTTTACATTTTTATAGATATTAATAACATTTAATTATGGCTTGAATTTTAAATGTTACAAATTATTTTTATATCTAATTTTAGGATATATTTTCAATTATTAATTAATATAGTAATTAAAGATTTTGAACAGAGTGATAAATGTTTTGGTGTATAGATGATATTTAGTGAAAAATTAAAATATATAAAAAATAATTATGCAAAATCAGTTTTCCACAAAATTAACATTGTTTTCTCAAGATTTTAAAATAAATAACCGTAGACTAGACATTTTTGATAAATAGACCTCAAATATTTTTCTACTATGCATTTTGTAATGATTCAAACATAAAACCTGAATAAAAACTTAAAGTATCGATAAACTACAAGCAATTTGATGTCTCCATAATTTATTTTAGCACATTGTAAATAATTTTTTTTTTATATTAAATTTTTATTTGAACCTAAATGTATTATACAATTTTTTTATATTTTTAGGTCAATAAAATATAATAATTATAAAATTATTATATTTGAATAAATAAGTAATAAAATAAAGGTACATTAGATATAAATAAAAATAAATTTGATAGAAAATTATTAAACAGTACACGTCCTGAATTGAGCTATAAGCAGAGTAACCAACAGCATAAAGAACTGTGACTTACTACAAATTTACAGTAGACAAAAAAGTGAACAAAAAATTTACAATATACATTGTCTAAGATATTTTCTTTTCTTATTAAATTATTTTTTTTTTTACATCACGCAAATCATTAAAAACAAAAACTGTGAAGTACAAGAATTTAAGATAGTAATAGATTAGTTTATATTTGTACCTAAAACTGTAGTTGTCATACTTAGTGATTAAAGTGGAGGGGTGATGGGGGATGGAATACCCCTTTTTATTTACGGTAAAATTATGCGTCTCTTTTAATTTAAGTCTCCTAAGTTTGGTGGAATGCTTAAAAAAAATTTATTGTAAATTTAAGTTGTATGTTAATTTTTAATAATTTATTAAATGGCTTACGCAAACAAACACATTAATTAATCACTGAATTTAAATGTATTTAAAAGTCAATAAGTTATAATATTTTATTGAGTCATTGAGGACCTTTATAATTTAAATAAATATATTCTTGTATGATTTTTTAATATTAATATAATTTATGATATGTGATATAATAATTAAAATTTAAATAAATTATTAAACTAAAAGAATATGAATAGTGATATTTACTATGAATTATTTTTTATTGAAATGTTTAAAACTAAAATGTAAATACATTTTTTTTTAATTTCAGGCAATGAATTGCAATTTATTTTCTACTTAGCAAGGTATTTTATGTTTAAAATCATTTTTCTTAGGAGAAAATTTGATTTTACATACTATTAACATTAGGTTTATACCTAGTAGGCTTCTTAAAAGAAATTGGTTAGACTTAGGAAGAAGAACTCGGGGACACTCCTCAATTTTTGGTGACTAATCCCCTCAACATTTTTTCCACTTAAACCACTGGGCCTTATACTGATGTTTCATTGAATTATTTTCATATGGTTATACATAAATTATTAAAATTTATTTATTTATAAGAAAAAAAACATCTCAGATAAGGTAAATCTGTAAATTTGTGGTAATTTTGCTTATGCTTTAATGCAGGACTGATATAATAATTTTGAATCAATTATACATTTTCTTGTTTATATCAGGTTTAAATTATAATCAGGGCTCATACGGTCATGTCCTAAGAAATTCCTCAATATGCATAGAAATATGAATTAAAAAATTTATAAATATGTATTTATATTAACTAAAAATCTAAAACTATGCACTTAAAATAAATAGATTGAATAAGACTGAATTAGTCGAAAATAAACCATAGTAAAAGTATCAAGAAGATATGACTATTTTATAAAACATTTTTTTCCACTAATAGCCTAATTTGGGCGTAACATACTGATTAACTAAATGAAATAATGACTATTGTGTTTTATTTTTAATAATTTTATAGCTGTAACAATTAACAGTATTAAATTATTGCATTTTTAATTAAATTTTGATTAAAAATATGCTAAATATGCAAAATTAAACTTCACATTTTTAACCATGGTACCTTTAAATGAATTTATATATCATTTAACCTTAAATACAATTTAATAAGATTGATAGGAAAATGTATGAACTCACGAGTTCTGATTAAAACCAACCAGCTAGACAATTTTAATTTATTTGTTTAGTATAATGCTGCTTGTTTTTACATTTTATCTATATATGTCCTAAATTTAACTAAATTTTACGAGTTATACATAGCTTTTATAGATATTATACTTTTATTTATTTAAGAATTCAAACAAAAATATTGATCGATATTAATACCACTTAAATTTAATCTTAAATGAAATAATAATTTAAAATCAAATATCACGCTGTAAATAAATTATTGTGTATAATATACATATTAAGTAGGTACTCTAGAATATTTACCTGATGTAAACTCTTGTACAGACGTAAATTTCGCGTCTTCAGTAAGTTGACATGCCGTCTATACAATTAATACTTTATGAGAAGATAAACAAATTTGGAAAAAGGAGATGATTATTATCAGTTCACGATGGCTTAGAATATCGACTTTTGTTCAATGGCATCTATAAATGACAATGTAAATAATACCATTGCTTACAAATGATAATCAATTATCATGTGGCGAGTTCTTCATACTTGACTTAAGATTTAAGACACACTTGTCACTAATACACTATTACACTATGACTAGTACAGTAACGTTTTACTCTATGCTATGACTATAAGATCGCAGACTAACTAACTTAACCTGAGTTGGTCTAGTCGTCTGGATCATGATTAATGGTTAAATACTAATATAACATTAATATGTCATAGATAAAATTAAGATTTGTTCATTTCATTCCATAAAAACTATATAAACAGATTTAAGAATGTTTGCTGTCCATAAACATGATAATATGTACGAATATGCTCTGTCCAACGAGAGAATCCGCAGAATCCGCGTACGCAAATTGCAGACTGACAACTGACAAGAGTGACAAGTGACGACCGAGCGATTACCGAGATCCCGTTTCCCCCTCACAGGGTGTACCATAAGCGGTCAATCGATCCAATGTCAACGCTCGGTTATTGGTATGATAAACAACTCGTTATCGTCTAGGCGTGCTGTCGAACATTGGAATATTGGAGGCTGAAGTGGTTGTCGCCCATTCACCATTGGGCGGTCTAGGTGTGAGCATTAAGTAATAAGTATAGGGTAGCTCCGGAGATGCACGAAACTAGATCGATTTTAGTCGGTACGCAGCGCGTTCTCTCGCTGGACGAGTATAGTACGTAAATTTATGTTAAATACTGTTGCTGTCATATCAAACGATCGACGACCAGATAGAACGAAGAATACAATGATATCCAAAAAACAATAAAGTAGACCCTTATGGATTAATAGTTTAAAACCTTTATCTTCTACCTTCACGGCTTCACGGCGTCTGTGGATTATGAGAATGAGACAACAAGCGTAACCTCCGTCCTCCACCTATTTACCTTCATCGAGTACATCATAATTCTGAATTCATGATTTAATCTTATCACATTGTAGAACAACCGGGTGTGAGATGAAAAAGATGTAGCCCCGTTGGGAGATAAGACCTGTGACGTTTGGAAACGATTATCGGCTATTGTCTGCAGACCGCCAAATTTTTAGTTATCATTTACTTTTCGTTGTCATCGTTGGCGTCTCTAAAGTGATATTTTCTAACCCGACTTAAAATTCGTCAAACAGCACCTGCCGACTGCCGTATTCACACCACTGGTTATAGTTATTGGTCTGTATTATTAGTCTGATTTCAACAGATTTTTCACCTTTTTCACATAGGTAAGTACTTAAAACTATCAACCTATGTACGTCGATTTTGGGCAAAACATATATTGTAGCTATGTTTTTCTTATGTTTGGAATATACAAAATTTGTGTGTAACAAGCCATTGCCTGCTTGCATTCTGAATACAGAATGATTTATTAAAATTAAATTATCTTTACAATTTTCAAATAGGTGAATTTTCTAGAAGAGAGGGATAAAAAATCAATCCCAAGTAATCGCTCTTAGGTCTGCACACTATGTCTTGATGGTAATTTGGGTAAAATGCTGCCAGACACAATTTACTGCCACTGGTAGTGTGCTGATATTTTTATATTTATACATTTTTCATTATAAAATAAAATACTATAATATTATAATCATCATCAAATTACTACAAGTTAACTATCTTCTTTATTGCTTTTTATTTAGTCATTTCATCATTTTAGTAGTATGTAGTTATAATAGTCTTTAATGTTTTGAACATAATTTAATCAGCAAATGGTGTCATAATTAACAATGGCAAATTTAATAGCCATTTTATTAGAAAATATTGATAGCGCATCATCCTATATTTTGTTTATAGAAGCCCACCTTAATTATAGCAAAAAAGTTTGGTAACTTTAGGTGGTATACTCTCATAGATAGGTTTAATCAGTAATATATATTTTTTTTTTTATTGATCTTATTTAAGCCCGGCAACTAAGGCCATTAGCTGTACATAGGAAAAGTAGGTATTTTGTGTAAGGTTTGGTTAGTAGGGTTGTAACATGTGGGTGTATGTATGTGCGCCATGGATTTGTAACTAAGAACTCGGGTGGTTACCCATTCGAGTGCTAGCGATGTCGGCCAATACTTGACCTCAGAACACATTAGTAGCCGAGACCAACCACCACGCCATATCAGGCCACAATCAGTAATATATGTTGTGACCAACAATAATTTAAATTCTTTTAATAATTTCTTTATGATAGTTACATCTGATGTTATTAAAAATACCTATTCCTATAAAATACCTCTGTGTTCAAACAACGTTAGATTATTCCTTTTTCATATAGTCCCACTTTTACTAAACTAAAAATTCAATATTTTAAATCTTATGCAAATATATTTTTATTATACATATCCATAATTTCAGCTATAAAATGTACACCATTGAGATAGTGAACATTATCATTTTTCAATTATAAATTATTATAATTTTACTATAATAACATATTATGTATAATTAATAAATTTTATTCAAAGAGAATGTTATTTTACTATTTATATCTTATATTTTATAGAGAAAATAATTAATTAAATGGTAAATATTTTATAATTTTATCCAATAGATGTAGGTAATTGTTAAAAACTTTTAGAAAGTGTCCCTTTTTTTTGACGGATAAATTATGACTATTATGTATGTATTGTTAATTTTAATATAGTATGTGGAATTTAATCTTGTATATTTTATTATATTTATTTCAGATTTATTGACTTCTAATTTGATAGTCACTATGGAACAGTACATTGTAAGCAGTAATAGTGCATTAGAATTTAAACTAGGTAATTATAAAACAAATAAAAAAAATTAATGTTAACATTTTGTTGTATACCTAATATTTATTTTTATCTTTTAGTACGTAAACCTAGTGACATTAATGATCCAAAAGCAGCATTTTATCCAGATATGACTTATCAAATATTTGGAAATATGTGAGTATTTAAATAATTTAATACAAATAAAAATAATTCAATTTTATTAATTTTATTTTAGGGAAAAAATATTTGGTTACAAAGACCTTGTTGTAAAAATGTATTACACTGCTTGTACTCTTAAGCTCTATATTAACATTAATTATTCTTCGAAAGTGGATTCAGAGAAATTTGGGATGAATGTAAGTATTATGTTCTGTTATTCAACTAGTTCTTGTTGTCTATTTTGATCTTTATGTACTGCTTATAATTATAGCACTTCTGATTTGTATACACTAAAATGTAGAAAGTATCAAAATATGCCATATAATATGTTGTAAAAATCTTGGAAATATGCAAGAAAATTGTTTGCATACTTAAAATTTACAAATTAAATAACTTATATTAATTAATTACTTAAATATTTAATAAAAAAAGTTCAATTTAATATGTAATACATTTCAAATTTTGTAAAAATATACAAAAAAAAAAAAAAAATATGATTGCATAGAAATCTGCGCTCTACTTATAATACAAATTACAGTAGCAATAAAATTAAAAAAATTAATAAATTGAAAACTATTATCATACTATGAATATTATAGTTATAATCCATTTAAATTTAGAGCATGCCCAGCATTAAAGTGTAAATTATTTTATTAACAGCACTATGAATATTTTTTTCATGATAAAAAAATAACAAGATAAACACAACATCAAATTGGTGCGGTATTGAAGCTAGTTTCTTCTATTTAAGATTTTCTAATTAAAATTATCTTTGAATTTAATAAATATATTTTGGATCTTTGTATTAGTTGGATGACATAATTTAGTTTTTAAACTCAAATAATTAAATAAATGCTAACTTTTGAAACATCAACATATCAATGCTAGTCTTAATATGTTAATATTCCATTTACAAATATTCTTAATTTTAATTTAGCAATAAATTATTTTTAAATTTATTTATTTTTATGTATTAATTGTATAGCCTGACAATATAATGGAGAAACTTAAGGATTATATTACTCCAAATTTCTTTACAAACATTGATGTATTTGAAAAGTGTTTAGAAGATGAACCATTGTTTAAGCCTTACGGAACTCAACTTGATCAATTTATTTTAAGTAAGATGAACTTAATATATTCAAATTTAGATTAAAATTTATATCTATATGTCTACCCATTGTTGTAGGTCATAATGAAGAAAACAAGAAATTTGAAGTTTATGTAATTGAAGATGAAAACACTGAGTTTAAAGATTATTTTAATCAACTACAGACATTTGTTTTATGGTACATAGATTCATCAAATACCATTGATTTTGATGATACTAAATGGAAAATATTTATCATGTGAGATATAATTTTTTTACAAATACATAGATTTTTATTTGAATATAAATGTTGTTATATACTGAATTATAAAATTAGTAGAACAATAATTATAATTCATAAATGTTTTTAAATATAAACAATGAAATCAATGTTAGTCAGATGTGTTGAATCAGTTTTAAATCTGAATAAAATATTATATTAAAATTATAGTGATCCAAATTAATTTTTAGGTATGAAATTTTTAAAAATGAAAATGGTGATTCGTGTTATACTCCAGTAGGATATTCAACCATCTATGAATATTATGCTTACCCAGATAAAATTCGCCCAAGAATTAGTCAAATGTTAATTCTACCACCATTTCAAAGGAAAGGATTGTGTGCTAAGCTCTTGAATTCTGTTTACAAACATTATGCCACTAAATCAGATGTTATTGATATTACAGGTATTAAATTATATTTTTATAAATTATCAAAATATATTATATGTATAAGTATTTAATTACTTGCTTACTCTTATTAGTTGAAAGTCCAAACGATGAATTTCAACTTGTTCGAGATTTCGTAGATGTTACTAATTTTCATAATCTAAAAACATTTGATGAAGTAAAATTAAAAAAACTACATTATCAAGAAATGGTTGAAGAGTTTAAAAGTCTTTACAAAATCAACCAGGTATATTATTATTAATTTATTTAATCTACAATATAATATATAGTTATGTAGAATTTATTTATACTGTACTTATGCCTTAGATTAGTGGTTTTCAACCTTTTTAACAATGTAACACACTTCTACAAAATTTTTGCAGCACTCTAATTCATATAATACGTGAAACATATATTTTTATGTATAATACATATATATATATATACAAAATTAATTCCATTAATAGATTTATCGCTGCTCATGGTACATCAGTTGAAAACCACTGCCTTAGATATATAATAAATAAGTACTAAAGACTTAGTCTAAATAACAATTATTTACATATAGAATAAAGTAGAGTATTTATAAATTTTTTTTATAATAAAATAAGATGCATTGGCTATCTACATCTATTGATATTTACAAATGTACAGTTTTAGCTATTTAAACATGATTAAAATTAAGATAAGAAGTTTAAATAGTGAGATAAAAATATTATTCATTAGCTATTTATATAATATTTATATATAATTGTTTTAATTTATAAACTTTTATATGTTTATATTATTTGCTATGTCTTATATTATTACTATTAATTGATCAGTTCACTGTTTATAATATAATGCAACTAAAAACAAAATTGGTATTAAACATTTTAAATTTTGTGAAAAATATTTCATCTGATAATACTTTATATTCTGTTTTAATTTTCACTTGACAGTACCTTACAACTAATTGTAAGTCATTTATAAATATAAGTTCAGTTTTGTTTTTTTCGTTTTTATTATGTATAAAATACAAATTTACACACGGTATTATCTTTAAATGTTCACATTAAACACATTAAATTTAAAAAAATAATAATTAATTTCCTCTATTTAATTATTAGGGTAAATTAATTAAGTTAGGCGGAGGAAATATAAAAAATTATTTAATTTAAATTTTTGTAGTTATAAAAATTTTTAATTGGATATTCTCTTGTATTTAAAGTTTTAAGTAAGTTTATTAAAGCCAATAAAGCAATTGAGTCAAGACTCATTAAAATAATTGGAAATATATTGCTTGCATTTTTTCTATAGAACTGTTAATAGTTATAATTAATTATAAACACAAAAATAAAAGAAAAAAAAATACATACAATATTCAATTTCCTTAGTAAATATCGCGTCATTTAACTACATTTACTCCATTTAGTCCTAAAAACACGATTTTATTAATAGTAAAAATCAAAATCAAATGTAGCAAAACAAATTTTTATTAAGTAAAATAATAGTGAGTGAATGACATTTTGCTTAATTTTTTATTACTTAAAAGATCTATAAAAGAGCTACTTGTAAATTACTCTTTAAAATTTGATTTTTACATATTGAAATGCATAAAAAAATATGAAATTAAAAATGTATTTTATCATACTTAAAAAAAGTAAAAAATGTTTATTTGTGTAAAAAAAATTTCATTACTTGCAATTTTGTAAAAAAATATTTTTAAAATCTTTTATTTTTTTTTTTTTTTTTTTTTTTAAATAATAAATGGTTATTGATAAAAAAATTTAGCCTATTTGATATTTCAATAACTTAATTTTCAAATCCTCAAAACAATGACTTGTTTCTGAAACCTGATATATTTTATAGAATATGCAAATATATTTAATTCTTTATTTATTTATTTTAACTATGAATGTTGTGTTAATTTCATTTAATTTTAATTCATGTGTATATTAAATTAATTGTAATTAAAATTATTTTTAGAAACAAGTTCGTCGTGTAATAGAAATTATATTACTAAAAATTACCAATCGGCAGAATGAAGATGAATATGAAAAATATAAGAAATTTGTAAAAGCAAGATTGAATTGGCCATTTCAAGTATATAAATATTAGTATAGGATAAAAAGTTGTTTTTCGAACAGTTGAATCTTATATTTAATATTTTTATTGTTTTTAGAAAAAACCTACCAAACTTATGATGGCAATGCCAGCCGAAGAAGCTGAAAAAATCCAAAAAGCTGACTCAGTTGTAAAATTGGAAGATTTGGATGTTGAGTATGATGAATTAGAACCTTCGTATGATAAAGTTATCAAGCGATTAGAAGTTAGCCTTGCTGTATAAATTGTCATAAATATCCAGTTTTTTATTTTTTGTATGTTAAACATTTTTGTTTCAATTTTTCTATATTAATTTTAATTCCAACTTAAGAATAATTTTTATACATGTTCCTTTTTTTCATTACTTGATTGATTTAATTAAGTTTTTGTAATAATTGAATATTTTAATAAAATCATTTAGTACTTTAAATATAATCAATTTTAATATTACATAAATAAATTAACAAACTATTAAGTTCTAAATAATTTGTGAATTATTTTATGTGTAATCTAAGTTTTTATTTTGTATTATAAAACTTGATGTTAAAACAATTGATTTTATAGTAGTTAATAAAATTAACTTCATTAAAATATATATATATTAATATTTAAGTTTTATATTATTTGCTGATTTTAGACTTTTGAGCGCTTTACTCTAATGAATGTATAGATTATTACAATGATGTATGAAAAGTATAAATATTTGAAAATGCTCATAATTCACTTAAAAATCAAAATATCCTAAAAAACCAACAAGAGAACACAGATATTGTTCTCACATAAAAATGTAATAATAGGTCAATTCACCCTATTAAAAGTAAAAGCATGCTATTGAAACTGGTGAATGAAAAACTATTATGTTGTATGTGTGTTAGACGGAGACAAGTGAGATAACACATGTGGGTGCTACGTCCTCTTAAATGGTAAATAATGATGATAATTATTTTCTTATTTAAAATTATTTTTTATGGAAATTTAAAACTTACTTTTATTACATTCTTATAAATTCAACTATACGCAATGATATATATTTTTTTTATTATTAAATACTAGAAATCTATTCACATTGATCTAAGGTATTTGCAGAAAAGTATTAAATTGATTGTTATATTAGTTAATAAAATATGTTATAAATATAATATATTATAAGAAATAAATACTAATCATACATTAAATGCAATATTTTGGTAAAAATTATGTCTACCAATTGTAATATTATAAGTAAAATAAATGATCTCAATCGTTTATCAAAAAACTTAAGAAATATACTTGGTCATAATATTAGCTAACCATTACCACTCAAACTCGTTTTTTTTGTACATTATGATTGAATTTAAATTCTTTGCACCCATAATAGTCAACCACTTGAAAGGTACCTAATGTACAACAAAGCAATGCTCGTTTTGTCTATTTTTTTTACATTATTTTTACAAAATTATTTACATTTACCAAATAACCATTGAATGTTATGTTATTACTAGTGTGACCAGACGTTCAAATTTTTTCTCAGCGCCCTAATTCCAAATAATTTTTATTTTATACAATTATTAGTATTCATATTTAAAATTATTTTAATTCTTTTAAAATGGACAAAACAAAACTTTTATGTATAAATTATAATTAATATGCAAAAAATATCCATGTATGAAAAAAACATTTGGATTGTTTATCGGATACAAATTAAAAATGTCATTCTATCTTTAGTTTACCTACGTCACAGGTATAAATGATATTAAGAACATTAATTTTAAGTCAAACGCAAATCTGTTTCTACTAATAAGTTTATGACTGTTTTTTAAAAATATAGCGCCTTTATCTAAAGTGTAAGAAATAGCTGCAGTTTAAGGTTCATATTATTGACAAAAATTATAGTATTTATTCTATAAATTTTAGATCAACATTCAAGTATTCAACACTAATAAAACCTTAGCTTGAAACAAAATTTCAGTGTGCGAGGACTAAGATTACTGATATTATAACAAATGTCTCTACTTATTTTCCTAATTTGTTTATAATTTTAAGCAGCTTATATACATGAAATACTTGTTTTTTAGATAACATTTTGTTTTTATAATTTTTTTGTCATTTATACTACCTAAATATTATATTATTACAGATATTCATACATGTATAATAGGATTTCAATTTTATTTTTATCCTATTTTGTCTATGATTTTTAATTTTTTTTTTTTTATCAAGAGGATAAAGATTTATCTCATCATTCATCAATAATGAACAAATGATATTATAATTTTTAACTATAAAATTATGTTTTATTTTTTTGTAGTGTCTAATTTTAACCTAAGGAAACAAAATTGAGACTAAAACCTACTATTAAGGAAGGTTTAGCACTCCCACAAGTACTACCTTATGAGGAGGGATACCTCTCTTCCACCAATTGTTTTTAAATACTTATCATACTTTTACAGAATTTTGATTTAGTCAATTTAATTATCACAATAAGCTATTGAGATAATTTCAATTCTCCATAATTAATTCACTTATAAATACTACATTGTATAAACTCTTATTTCACAAAAAAATTTATAGATTAGCAGAAGTAAACTGAATTGTGAAACTTATGCCGGTACAGTAATTATCTTAATGTATTCCGTCTACTTAACATTGTATTTCATGGAAGATGCATTAAACTGAATGGGTTTTATCAAAACCCAGTACCTTTCATTTTTGTCTGGCAGAATTTAGTTGAAAAAAAAAAATCAATAATAATGAAAACAAAACAACTGTTACAAAAATAAAGTAAAATGATTTATTTAGTTATATCAATATAGCAGTTATAACAAAAGTTGTTAAATGGCACAATATATTTTCATTTTTTTTACGTTGACTAATAGTTATTTTTAGTTAAAAACCTTAATTTGATGAACAATAACAATAATAAATTATAAATCATAAATTCAATAAAAAAATAAAACCAACACAAACTCATACATCTTTTTGAAGTGTTAAAATTATGACATTCCAAATATTTTAAGTGCATTAATTGATGTTGCTAAAGCCACTTCATCTGGTTTTTTAGCAATAAAACCAGCTAACAATTCCACCAAAACAGGTAATGAACATGGTTCATTTCTATGAAATGTACAATAACGCTGTAAAAATCCCAAAGATCTGTAAAAATATAATACATAATAATTAATAATTATTTCTTCAAAATATATATTTTGTTTGAAAATATACCTTTGAGTGAGACTAGATTTTAATGCATCAGTAAGATTTGCTGCTCTAGCATTTGGATACATAAATGGAGAATCTGATTGCACTAGTATTCTATCTAATGTTAATGTTCCTGCGCTTAAAAGTTTTTTTATTCCACTACCAGAACTGTCTTTACACAAGCCTCCTGCAAAAAAAAAAAAATTTAGTAAAATTAACAAATGTGTACTTAAACAAAAAAAAATTAAAAACTTCTACATTCATTATATATTTATATTTAAATATTGACCATTATAATTAACATAATACTATCTTTCATTGTGCAACAGCTAACATTAATTTAACAGCAAATGTTACCTGTTATTCCAATGTACATTCCTAAGTTTATGTAGTCAGTAGCTTCTTCAAAAGAACCAGTAAATGAATGTAAAATTGCTGGAAGCATTAAAGGCAAATGTGTTTTTATAATCTTTAAAAAATCTTCATGTGCTCCTTTTTGATGCAACATAATGGGCTTTTTCATTTCTTTAGCCAAGGAAATCTACAAAAAAAAAAATAAAAAATAAATATTAACGTTGATATACACGTTAAAATTAAACTAACATGCAAAATATACAACATTTTATTCTAACCTGTTGCCTGGTGTTTGCAAATAATAATCATACAATAAACATTAATTTAAAAATTTAAAAGAAATGTAACCAATTTCATACTTTTATGTTTTAATAATACCTGTAATTCAAAAACTTTTCTTTGTATATCAGGTGATGAAAAATCTTTATTATAATCCAACCCACATATACCAATAGCTACACATTCTGGATTTTTAGCAATATCTCTCAGTTCATCATAATAATTATCTTCCCAAGATTTTGCTTCGTGTGGATGGATACCTATTAAATATAATAAAATAAGCATTACTTACGTATTATAGGCAAATAACAATAATATGTTTGATAATAATAATAAAAAAAAAGTGCTTATTAGACAATAGTTAATAGAAGTAATTAATAAATAGGTTAATTAATATAACATTATTTTAGACACATATTTTAAACTAAATTACCTAATGTCTCATCTATAATTTATAAAATTAACATCAAATATTTTATAATTTTATGTACAAGTACAGTTTTATTTAAAAATGATTAAAAACAAAACTTGGATATCTACGATTACGTTTATAGTAGTCGTGTTTATCTAAACTAATTTTAATAGATATACATTGCACAAACTAAAATTATTTATATAAATATGTCATTTACCTGCAGTTGAATATAACGCTCCTGGATATATTCTTGCTAACCGTAACGCTTCTTTACTTGTTCTTAGAGAGGTACAAGGAACAATTATTTTTTGAACACCTGTAAAATGATAAATACTATGTAACAGTACATTCATAATTGTTGACAGTAAGCAGTGTCATAGGAAATCATTACAATATGATGTCTCAAACGTCAGGTAATCTAAAAATGTCTGAAGAAACATATAATAACAGATAAAACGAACCAACATAGGTACATAACCATACCCGAATCTTTTGCTCGTTGTAACACAGATTCCAAGTCCCTGCTGAATTTTTTATTCACCATGTTCGATCCAACATCGATGAGCAAATAATTGTCATAGTTCTCTCGGATTGGATCAAGAACTTTGACTGTGCTGTTAGGTTGAAAAGCCATGATACTTCTAAAAAAAGCGTACAGAATTACACGTAAACAAGACTTAAGGATAATTATTTTTCTTATTATTATTGCTTAATAGGTTGAGACTGTATGTGTATATAAATATATAAATGTAACGCTCTGAGTTTTAATTTTTAACTGTGTCAACGATAAGCTATTATGGACACTGTACGTCTGTACATCGATCGCGGTGGTCTACTTAGCACTTATCTAATGTCTAAACGTCTAATTGTCTAAAGTTGGTGATAAAGAACTGACATATAATAAATACCTATGACATTTGTAATCGAAAACAACAGCATTAAAATTCCATACGATAACGACCGAACCAGCCGCGGATCGTCAGTCGTCACTTGTCAATATTATCACGTTATTTTTTACGGGACGGGCAGTGATATTTTTGGAGGGACTGCACTACTTTATCCAGAAATTATATCTCCTAATATACAGTTTATCCAATAATTTTTTACCAAATACCATTTTATCCAATATCGATTTTCTTCCAAATGAAATGGATAAAAAATTTTGAGGAAAAGGTGAATTTTGATTTCTTTCAGTTTTCCCAATTTACTAAGTTTTGCAGGATTAAAATGCACCTTAAAAATAAACTAGCCCATAGTCATTTCCAAATAGGTAGGTTACGATTTTTAAAATAATAAATGCTGCTCGCATTCTCCATGATTTCTTAAAACTAACATTTCATTAGATATGTGTTTTATGCTAATATTAAAGTGTATGAAAAATGAAAACAATTTTTTTATAAAAATAATAATAGATAAGAAAATATTTAAATAACTGCATATTTAAAGTTTATTAATATCAATACAAATTGTATGAAAAAAATAATAATAATTGTATAGGTATTTACATCACTATCATTGGCACTCAAAATTTTTTAGTACATATCAAATACCTATTTATAATTTATACATATACCTAGTTTATAATTTTTTAGCAATTCCAATTTAAGCTGATTATAGTACCTTTCTAGGTATATAAAATTAACGGCGTAGGTACTTGCCATATTTTAACCGTATTTTGTTTGACATGGATATCTCCTATAAAAACATTCTACTTACTAATTTATAAACATATAATAAATAGTATACCTTATAGTTTATACAATACCTACCTTGCAATTTATTCATTTAAACCACGAGATGATTTAACATGACGAAATATATAGGTATGATCATGTGGGTAAGTAATACTAGAAATTTGCATTTAAGTTAAAAATATAATTATAACTACTACTATACATTTGTTGTTCAGATAGGTACTTACAGAATCAGATACTTATTTTTTGTTATATCTAGATCTACTCTTTGGTTCTCTGGTAGTTTAAATATTTATTTGTATAATCAAATCCATGTAATTTATAAATGTGATTGAAATACCCATATTAATTATATTATATATAATCATATTTATTTAATTATTTCTAAGCCTACATATTTATGTTGAATTGTTGAATCAATACATTATGATTTATGACAAAATATACGTTTAATTTTTTATTTAACATAGTACCTATATACACTATAGTAAAAAATAAAAATACTTAAATACGATCCTTCAAATAAGGTTCTACCTCCCAGTGGATATTTTAAAATTCTTCAAGTTAAAATAAGGATAAGACCTTCAGGCTTCAAAACTAAATTTGTGAGAAATATGAATTTTCATTGTTCAAATCTTATCATCTTAACTTATCTAAATTTTGTCTACACTAATCTTATTTATACTACTATTAAATAATATCTGAATAATTGAGAATTTTAATATTTTATTCTACAGAATAGTCGAATAGTGTACTTAGTCACAAGTAACAGATTATATCTAAATCTTTTCTTTGCGTAGTGTTAGATAGGTACTGCAGTAAATATTAAAGTATTATATTGGAAAACATATTCACATATTTATAGTACATATTTTATATATAAAATACTTAATACTGCTAGTAATTAATATAATATATGTATCTTTAATGATTTTTTTAAAATGGTTTTCTTATTATTGCGGTTCTATTTATTAAATCTATTGTAATTTCTATGAATAAACCGAAATGTTTAAATAATTTTAACTTTTATTGAATATCACAATGAGCATTATTAAAAATGCTGTACAAGTAAATCATTCAGAACAATTTTTTGTAGAATATAAAAAAAAAATACCAAGACTTTAAATTAGATCTACTGACTATTGAGGAGTATATCTGTATATAAACTTATACAGTTATACCTATCTAATTTTTAGAAAGAATTATTATTTAATCATTAAAAAACGTGTTTAAAAAAATATACCTAATAAATAATAATAGTAATAGTATAATATACAAGTACATAATATTATTATCATTATAGCACTTGGACCGACGCATTTCTATTTTTGTTTCTATTATCGTATTATTTTTGTTTTAATTTGTACACAATAATATGTTTACACTTTATAGCAGTACACACACTGACACATAAACATTTTTGTTGTTTAGTACTGTATGATTGTATAACAATTTACAACCATCAGATTATTTCATTTTATATTAATAGTTTCAAATAATTTATTGATACACAAGCAAGCGGTTGTTTTTATTATACTATCGTTGAGTATTTCGTTTCTCGAGTATTGTAAACCGTAGCTAGACAAGACGTCAAGTCAAAAAGTGTATAAATTGACAAACAAACGTGCTCAATTTTTCAAAACAGCTTTTATTTTTATAAATATGGAGTGAATGTGGGGATTGACATTTGACAATGGCATTTTACGCGAAAAATCAAATCAATTAGTCAATTCCCTGCTATTTTGTATTTATAAACTATAGTTAAGATTTAGAACATGACCTCGAAAATGATATTCAATTTAAAACTAAAATAAAACAATTTTCAGATGAAATATTATTTGTGCTTAGCTTACAAGAAAAATTAACAAAATCAAAGTTAATCGATTAATTTCCTAATCTGGAAATAGCTTTAAATTTAGTTGTATCTATGCCTTGTTCAAACACTAACGGGGAAAGATCCTTTTTAGTTTTAAAAAACTACCAGAGAACCTTATTATTTAATGAAAATATGTCACCGTTAAAAGAATTACAGTGGATTTTTTTTTTTTATTATTTTTGTAATTAATTTTTTATGTATTTTTTGTCAATCCACTCAGTATTATTCATTCAACACAATTCAACGAAAACTAAAAATAAAATTAACATTCTTTTAGAATGATTAAAAATGTATTTGACAACATCCATACAAAACATTAAAAAAAAAATTAAAATTACTTAATGTATTCATAGGCAAATAAAAAAAATATTTTTAACTATTTTGAATATCATATATCGTATATTTTTTTATTACGATTTAATAGTATATAAAAAAACATATAAATAAGTTAAATTAAAATAATAAAGTATTTTGTCATTGTCAAACATTTATGTTAGATCAATATCAATTTATACCATGTACGTTTAAAATAATGTTATCATTGATAAAAAAAAAATAATAAGAATTTAGTTTTAAAAATTTGATTTTTGATACAAGAAAATTAAATTAACATAATAATAACAAAAATATTTTTAACAATATTTAAAATGTTTTACATTTGGATTTTATCTTATCTAACTTATTGATAAACACTGAGTTAAAAGAAATTATCGAAAATTTATCGATAATAGGTGATAATTTGAAATATTACTATACATAAAATACTCTACAGTATGCTTAGCATAAATTAGAAATATAAGAACATAACAAGTTTTATTAAAATTCAGATTATTCTAAACAATAATTTTTAAAGTTTCTTACAAATCTATAATTATAATATAATTATTTGTTGTACATTTCAAATTTTACATCAGTTAAATTAATAATTAGTGTTGGCCATATCTTGCCGTAATTTACTTATATCGTTTAAGAGTGTTCTTAGTTTTTCTTCATCGTGTTGACGATCTATCAGTTGATTACTTAATATATTTTGAATACTGAAAATTATACAAGATTAAGTTTATTTTTTATAAATGTGACAACTTTAAAATTAGCCAAGCATCTAATGCTAAATGTAAATATATTTGATCTTGAAAATATCAAATTTATTTTATTTTTAAGTATTAAATAAAAAAAAATATAATTATTTACTTTTGTCTATTGCTAAACAAATGATCATCAGTTTTAGTTTCATGAAATTTGGTGTACATTTGGTTAATTTTTCTTACAGATGCTATCCACCGCTCTTTGAAGAGCATACAAGAATTATTAGCTTCTTCAAGTTTACTCTCTAAATTTGACTAAACATGATATTTATTTATTAATTATATATATATGTTTAAATTTAAATTACATACAATTTTTTTCTCTAATTCTTGTACATGAAAACCACAATTGTTTTTATACTTCAGTTCTTCGTTTTCTTTCCTTAGTAAAATATTCATTTTTTTAGATTCATTTAATTTTTTTTCCATTTCAAAAATTTTATTATTTAGCTCATTAATTGTTTGCGAATTAGAAGAATGTGCATTTTGCATTAATCCAATATACTTTTTGTCCATACTATCTTTTTGACAAGCTAACTAAAAACCATAATATATTTTATATTGACAGAAAAAAAAATAATCAAAAATATAACATTAATTATCATACTTCTAGTTCTTTAGCTGTTACAATTGCATCTCTTTCTTTTAACATATCAGACATTTTGTCTAAATCCTTAGCTAATGTTTTACATTTGGACATAACATAAGTAAGTTCATCTTCAATGCGTTTTCTATCACTAGACCATTTATTGTTAAATTCTTTTAATAGTTGTTCTTCCTTTGTTTTCATCTATATAAATAATATAATAATAAATTATAATTTAAACATGGTTATGGTTACCTAATATAAAATAAAATAATAACTTTTTCATTAAATAATATCATTTGTTTGTCTTTCCAATCTTCCAATTCTTCAATTAATTTTTGCTGAATATCATAAGTGCATCCATCTCTAAAGAAAAATATAATTTGTATTAAATAAATTATAATTAAATGTATATTCTTTAACAATAAAATCTTGATTAATTTTATTAGAACTTACTGCTGTTCATATTTTTCTAATGAAACATCAATTTGTTCGACCATATTTACATTGGGTTTTGATAAATCAATTTCAATGTTTTCTTTAAAATGTTTGTCATCTTTTACTGAAATAAAAATATTGTTATGTACATGATAATCATAAGGTTAGATATTATATTTATTCTTCATATATATATATTGTACATTTAGATAGTTTTTAAACTGGTTATTATGTTTCAAGACTAAATGGCTATAGTAGCAATAATATTGATAAAATGTTGCTTTTAATTTCATAATTATTTTATTATGCCATTAAAAATAAATAACACCAACTATTGGTCATTTAATTTATACATGATATGTTTATGAAATATCTAGTAAATAGTTACATAATTATAAAAGTATTATAATAATACTTTACTTTTTTCCGAACAATTTTCGACAATTGTATTCTTATTAATTACCAAATTTGAGTTTTTGGTTTTTACTGGTGATTTTTCAATAGCTTTATCATTTAAATCTTCAATTCGTAATGATAAATTTAGATTATAACTACAGTTTTTTGATCCTATTAATTTGTATGAGTTATTTTCTATCTAAAGTTTTAAAAGTTAATTAGAATTTAACCAACAATTAATTATTAAGTGGCATATGCTTATGTATTGAAACTTAATATCAGTTTACTTACACGATCATTGGATGTTGGATTAATAGTTTGAGCACCTTTTACTTTTAATAAAAGATAACCAAGCTTTTCATTTAAACTTGATTTGTCATTTGGAATACGAAAACATTCAATTCGTATAGATGCATTAGACATTTTTAACCTTAGACAGTATAAATCAATATAAATAAACCATTACAAGAAAATAAGTGTTTTGAAGAAAGAAATATAATTTTTAATTTTTACTTTTTTAATGTATCATTATTTATACACCATATAATATCTGAGGCAAATTTCAGTTCATTTTGATTGACTGGAAATATAGCTGTTTGATATTTTTGGTCCATCAATGTTGCGTAAATTATAATAGATCCTTTAACTAAACCAAATCCATAGGCTAAAAAAGTATAATTATATACATACTATTATTACATATTTGATAATAGACACAAATAATTTATATTTACATTACTAATTTTAATATAGGTATGTTAAGAATATTAAATGTAATAATTATAATCATTATGGATAAACCAAATTTTTATTAAAAATGAAAAACTCTATTTTAACTATTTTTCTATCAATTAATGAAAACATATTTCTAGGAAACATAAATAATAGGTATTTATGCATGATGTAACAACTTCAATTGATGTCATTTTGGTAATATGTTAAGTTTTGTTAGGCAGACCTCTTTATATTATAATATATTGTAGATTACAAAATTGTCTTAAAATAACATATCAAAATACTTAATTGAAATTTTTTGAAAATTAATCAAATTATTTATTTAAACTTATTAAGTATATAAATTAGTTAGCAGCTAACTAAAAAACTATTTATTTATATTTTTTCATTTAATGTAGCATTTTACATAGAATTTTCTATTTCTTTTATTTATTTATTTTTTTATGTTAAAAGTCTGAGAACCAAAAATTATAATTAAAATGTAAAAACAATTACATATAAAATTTTGTGTAGAAAGTATAACCAAAACATACCAGAGATTTGACAAACAGTAGTTCAATTAACTTGCATTGTAAATTTTGATAAAGATTTTAAAAGAAAACATTTCATTATTTTTGTTCGATAACATTTTTTTTTTTTTACATGATGATTTTGATAAAAATATTTTTAATATTACCAGGCAGATATAAAACTTTTTACACAAAAATCCTTGATAAAGCTTTATAGTTAATAATTAAATTTAATTGTACTTAAGCTTAATATATTTCAATTTAATCAAGATCCATAAAATTATTTTTAGTTGTCAATTTTCATTGTGCATTTTATTCACAATATATTAGTTTCCATACTAGTCTTTTTAAACATACATTTTTTTGTGGATAATTAATTATATATAACAACAATTAATTAACTCTAATAGTTTTTGAGATAAATACATGTTTTATTATACATACTTGATAATTGGTAAAATTACAAATGCAATTATTATTAATTACCATACACCAGATTATTTGAAAAAAATCGCTAATCCAAAGTAGGTAGTAATTATTCTATGGTACCCAAAATTCTTCAGAGATTAAATGTCCAAAACATAATGTTCTTACCTGAGTTTATATGTAAAATAATATTTTTATTCCTGAAATCCAATCCTTGAATTTTATTTGCCATATTAAATTTTTGTTTTTAATATTTATTAATGTATTTTATAATTTATAATTTATATTTATGATACATTGTATTAAACAATCAAATTATTTTAAACGTTTTCTGTAAATTAAAAACGGCAGAAAAATTAAACGGTTGTCAAACGTCAGTTACAAAATCGTGATAGTTAAAAACATTTCATATAATCATACTTATCTATCCTGACGATTATTATCATCACAGCTACTATCTAACAATATTATCATTTGCATTTTCCACCATACTACACCGGTTAACTGTCGGTGCATAAATATTGCACCAATTTATACAGATTGGCTTATTGGCCAACCAGTGCAGGTCAGTGCAACAGTAAATGGAAATGTTATTGCTATAATTTTCCTTGTATCATACTATCATAGACTTAACAATAAATAATGGTCTTATAACCTGTGATAGAGGTCCGGTCCATGACAATATTGTCATTTGTCATGGTTCGGATAGTCGGATGACAATATTGTCATGGTCCGGGTATAAAATATAATATTATGCGATTTAAAATATTTTCTATTAATCTGAACGAACGTGAGTTTGTGACCAAATTGGTCGGACCAGTATTGAGTGCGGTTTTATAGAGGTATCGAGAGCAAAGAGTTTATTAAAAATTGTTTTAGCGATAAACTAACTCAACAAACTTCCTATGCCGCGTCGGTAAATAATCAGCTAATCGTTTGCTTTTGTTACCTTAGCGAAAATTCGCTAAATTGTTAGAAGAAGATAGCATATAATTTGGTAAATCATATCATTAACATCATGAAAAAGTAATGGTAAGTTTAACAACTAAGATGACAACATTTTTAGAGAAAGACAGTTTTGTAGCTGTTACACTCAAGTGGTATCATATATAGGAGCATTTAGCATTAGGTATTTGGCTAACTCTTTCTTATAATATTGTAACTATATTGTTGAACTGGTACTTAAAGAGCTCCCAAAAATGTCTTTATTAAAACGATAAAAGTGTTTACAAGTAGTGCAAAATATTATAATTCTATAAAGGTACTTTATTAAAATACATAAACAATAAAGTTTGTTGCATAGAGTAATTATTTATAATACTACAGTATTATCTAAATAATAGATATAATACCTTAAACTATATACAAATTAATATTTTTTAATGTGATATAAATTGTGTGATTGATTTTCTTAATAATGTTTTAGTGCACTAGATTCATTTTAAATGTTATCAATTATTTTATCTGTTTCAATCAATAAACATTTAGCATCAATTGATTAAGATGTTTTTGGTGTATTAAAGACCAAAGTTAAGTTTTAATTATTTTCAGCTTCAAAAATATTCTCTCAGTAGTCGGTGTTGATGGTAATAGCAACACAGATTTATATAATGTGAACAAATTTCAAAATTAATTAAATTGGTATGACAGTTCTTGGAGCAAAACTAATACACAGTTTGGACATTTAGTGCATTTGTTACATTAAATTTGTTGGGTCGGTTTAACTTCAATATCCTCATCTTTATTGAAATGTATATTTAAAAAAAATTTTAATTCATTATCATGAAAATAACTTTTAGATACATTTAGTATAAAATTGCATTACTGGCAAGTTAACTATTTTAACTCAATTACAACGATCTCTTGGTCTTAATTTTTTCTTCGGTATAAGCTTAATAGTGAAATCTTCTTGAATACCTATTAGGTTTTCTTCATTAAAAAACAAATTAATTTTTGTTGACAGAGAATTTATATATTGTATAAAAGTTTATGTTATTTTCATTTCTTTTTTTTTTCAATTTTCTTATGTAAAGTTTCAATTATATTTCAAGCTTGTGAATAGTTAATTAATTTATTTTGCAAATAAATTGATACGGGATTTGTTACTGCATAAATATCAAGCATAATTTTTAGTACATTTTTACAGGCTTTGTAATCAAAGTAAATTTGGGCTTACAAAATCGTAAATTATCAAAAAAATTGTTATATTAGTATACATAGTTTTGAAATTAAAAAAAATGTAATTCCTCCTTAAGAAAAATTATGGTAGTTTCAATAAAAGATGAATTGCTTTAAGTAATTACATATTAATATACAATATTATGCACTTAATACAAATTATAAACTACAGTAACGGTGGTGTTCAGTAATTTTAAGAAGTGTTGAATAACTGATTAGTACCATTTAAGATTTTTAAAAGGAGTATTAAAATTTAAACAAGTCAATTTTTTAAAATTTTTAATGGTATGCTTGCACATTATTGTAATAAATACATGTAAATATGATAAAAAAAAAATAACCCATTTGTCTTACACAACTATGCAAATATTTTATTAAGCATAATTTAATAATAATTATTACACAAAAACAATAAACACAATTTAATATACATAATAATACACACCAAGTACACAGATATAGATAATATTATAAAAGGTACATACAATGATGCAATTACAATATAGCCTATAGGTAATCTCTGGTGTTAAATTAAATTAATTATATACTACAAATTTCAAAACATTTTGTCTTTAAACGAACAGAAATCAGAACCAATTGTTAAATTTACATTTCATATTCATGCTTTTAATAGTTTTTATTATAAAAATGTACATGAGCGTTCCCAGACATTTTTCTAGGGAGAGAGGGGTAAAATTAATTAAAAAAATAAATGAAGATTTTTTATACATTTTATTTATAGAACATTATTATTTTTTGTCATTGTTACATTAAATTATTATAATTAGGTAACAAATTTAAAATTCTAGGGGTCTTGCTCCCCTTGGAGACGCCTATGATTATGTGTATTATACAGTACACACTAATCTAACCTATACATATTATTGTTTTCATAAACAATATAATTAAACTTTTATACATTTTAAAATTGTATAACAGGTTAATAAAATTTATACATACACAAAAAAAGTTGAATTCTAATATATATTCTACTATCCCTACTACCAATAAAAATTTGTTTTCTCAAGTTATATCCGATTTTAAGGATAGTTGGTATAATTGACATGAGATAATAGGTAAATTTTATCATAGCTATTAACATTGCTTAGGCTTTATATAATTGTTTAGACCAGGAGTCGGCAACCTTTAGTCTGTGAACCAATTTTGTTTGGCCCGCAAAGATGTTACATTTTTGTGATGTTTCAATAATATTTTAATTTATCCACAATTTAGTTCTATTAACTTTATAGTTATGAATATAATATCTGAAATATTAATGAGAAAAAGCTGGACAAATGAGTAATAGTTTACAAATCAGCTGTAATAAAATAGGTATAGAGTGGGTTATTGTTAGATCTAGGATTTTAAGGATCTAAAAATACACAATAATGCATTAAAAAAAATGTAAAAATGTACTTGGAGGAGCTTATAAATTTATTATAAATTAATGCCTATAAATCCGCGCTCTAGTTATGAACATTTAAAAGTTTTAATATTTTATATAGCTATAACTGAGTTTAAAATTAAAATATCAATAAAAGCTTATGTTGTTGCCTAGATAAAATTGTTACATTTAAGTTTAATAATAGGTAAATTTACTCTAATGTTAACAACATAAAATGGATTCTGTTGAACGAAAATTTGATATGTTGTATGTATGTAAGACGAAGATAACACGTGCAAATATAAAGTTTTCTTAAAGAAAAAAAATGCAATGCAAGTCATCAAAGTCCTAACTCAAGTCATTGTAATTAATGCGTTAAAATTTGAGCTAAATATAATTATATTGTTATTTACAAAAAATAATATTAATTAGAGACAAACGAATCAGCTTATATTATATGTTTTTTTAATATTCATACTAAATTTATTTATTTTACTTGTAATATTACGGTATTAATTTCATTTTTTTCAAAAACATTGCATTTATTTTATTATTGTTATCAAATTTTCTGACAATACCACCATAAGACAGTGTTAATAGCATTGATCCTACTACAATTATTATTTATTAGTATTAAATGATTGATAGTTAAAATATATTTTTGGAAATACTGAATATAATATAAATTCATTTGGAATTAATTTTTTTTTATGTTTAATAATAAAATTAATAAAATAGTATACACTTGTTTCATAAAATTACATTAATTGCTTATCACATTAATATACACTTAAGTAAAAAACTAGTATTATAATAATTAATAACACTCCTTAATGTCTAGATCGAAATCTGTTCAATGTATTATGTAGACCCTCGAAACTCACAGCAGGATCACTTTCAGCCTTTAATTCAGATTCATGATTGTCTGACTAAAAAATATTAATGTAGTTTTATACATAAAAGTTAAATAATTTAAACTGTATGGTTGATTAAAATCAATATATTTTTATAATAATAAAATAAGGACACCATAAATTATTAGTTTTCTTTCAGAGCAAAGCATTGCTTTTAACATATCATAACTTTAGTTGAATATTTTTGTACTAGGTACAAATGTTTTTTTATGAAATAACAAGTTTATTAAGCACTAGAGATAATTTTATTCTTTAATCATGTATATTATATTATTGAGTTTATACTGTAGTTATTTAAAAATAAATGTGTGTGCAAAATAAATTAAATGATTATCATACAGTGAATTACTGAAAGATAACAAAACATATGATTTTCTTTCTTAAAAATAAAATGTGTGTAAAATAATACCTGCAATTCTAATGGAATGTATCCAGTGCAAAATTTAGATGCTGGTGATTCTTGTAGTTTCATACGAACCGGAGGTAGGGTCAATCCAAAAAATCTATCACCATTTCTATTTGCAGGTATTAAATCTTCAGCACCTAGCAATTTATTAATTAATGAAATAAGATGACTATGGCATTCATCAGTGCTTAAGCCAGTGACTTTGAAATGTTTTTCATGATCCATGATCTCAAATCTAAATTAAAAAAATAAATATATCCATAATTTAATTTCATAATCCATATCCATTATCCATAAGGATATGAAAATTTTTTATGAACCTTGGAGATGAACCAGCCTTTATAACTTTGCAATGATAAACACATTTGGCGAATATATTTCTGAAATGAGCATAAGTTCTTGATGCATAATATCCAGCTGGATAAATTGCACAGTCTGTGTAATAAAATGGTGTATCATAAACAATCTGAAATAATTAGTACAATTTTTTTTGATAAATATTAAATACAAACATATATAATTATGAAAAACATTTAATATCAAAATAATAAAAATATATTTTAGTGTTTGAAAATATAGTTATGACTGGAAAGTTAAGATACATTTATCCCATAAAAATTATTATTAAACTCACTTCTCCAAAGCTGTAAATGGTAACATTTCCACTAGTTATTGGTTCTTGGACTTCAATAATATTTTTCTTATGTTTAACAGCAGGACGTCTTGGCTTAGGTGTTACACCTGTAAATAAAAATGTGTAATCTTTGGAGAAAATTTTAATTTTTGGATTGATACAAGGCTAATTAATTATAATCAAATAATTTATAAATATAAACCATAGGTATGCGCAAACTTGAGTCAGGTATGGCTAAATTTAATCAGACCATCCACCCTCCCATCCTTCCATCATGGCCACACAAGAAAAAATTATGTCTATGGATAACCAGTATATTATCTTTAATAGTGTAAATATCTATGATTGTGATGTATTTCACTATCAATTTTCGCCGAAATAACACCTTACTACTTTCTTAGGTACCATTGTACCAAGCACCTACTCATGTATAAAAAAAGCTCAGGTGGGACTAAAGCCTAATCAGCTCTACTCATGTGCATTCCTATGATATAAGCTAACCATTCCTGAATAAAGTAAATAGTACACAATTTACTTTAATTTTTAATTTTATAGACATTTGTATTTTCTTAAATATTAAAAATAATAAAAAAGTACATACCATTAGTAGTTGGTTTTTTTCTTGGAGTTGCCTTTTTTGCTTGAGGTGTTTTTACATTGGTTGGAACATCTGAAAATAAATATCATTGTTATATGACTTTTAAAATAATAAGATAGTTACTTGATAATTTATATAACTTGTTAACTGTTAGATTTAAAATTAAAGACAATAAAAATTAAATACACGTTTTTATGTAATAGCACATGATTTTACTTAGTAAATAGTACAGATAAATTTCAAGTTAATTAGTTAAATGAGTTAGCTTAAATTATAACATACAAAATTAACTTAATTTCATGTAATATATACAAATTTTATTAATAAAAATATATTGTTAAACATGCATAAAATTGTATTTGTTAAACTTATTAAAAATTTAAAAGTTAATAGTAAGATTAAAAATGAAAATAAATGTATTAAAATTGTTAACTATAATTTATTAACACGTTAATGTCTAGTCTAAAAGTTTGGTTCAACAGATGTGAACATAAATTCTAATAGATATCATTTGAATGAACCATCAGATTACATGACAACAATGACTTCTTGTATAGAAATCTATGTTATGATTTATAATGGTTAATTTTTATATTTTATACTTATAATTAATAGCTTTTACTACAAGAAAATAAGGTATGATGATAACAAATTGAAGTTTGTCAGGTTTTGAACACATCATTTAATTCAGTTAACCTCATAGTACATTATATATTACCGTATATTACCGTAAATGCCCGATCACTAGGTAAATCTAGGTTTTATTAGTTAATGTTAAGTTTTACTGTTTGTACTCAGTAAATGCTGAAATTCTTAATTTTATTCAGGCTTTTATTAAACACGTTGTGTACATCCTAGGATATACAAATTTACTTAGTAAAAGTTGATCAATACGCGACACATAACATTTAAACTGCGTAAAGGTAAAATTATAATTATATATTATTAAAACAAACTACTGACAGTTATTTAAATTCTTTATTCAAAATAAAAATGAATTTAAATAACTGTCAGTAATTTGTTTTAATAATATATAATTATAATTTTTACGTAGCTTAAATGTTATGTGTCATGTATTGATCAGCTTTTACTAACTCAATTTGTATATCCTAGGATGTACACAACGTGTTTAGTAAAAGCCCGAATAAAATTAAGAATTTTAGCATTTACTGAGTACAAACAGTAAAACCTAACTACCTAACATTAACTAATAAAACCTAGGTTTACCTAGTGATCGGGCATTTACGGTAACATATATTTATCATGATACAACCAATTAAAAAAAATATAAACTGGATACCGATAGTTAACAAAGTAATGAGTATGCATATCTATCATTAAATTTCCATCATACCTTATTATTTTACCATAGCAATTACATTATTGACAACAGAGCAAACACTAATAAGTAATATCCTTATTTTTTTCAAATGTTTTAATTTAATTTAACAAACAATAATTAGAGTTAATATAAGTAATTTAAGTCTTTAAATTATAAATTTAATCAGACAGACTTTGAATCAAGAGTTAGTTGTCTCTAGTCACAATACAAATACAGCTATACCAAACATTTTTAAAAAGGATCCAAATAAATTTAATTAAATATTGATTCATAAAATTGTTGTGCCTAAGTGTAAATCTACAACCGAGTCTACGACTAAATTCTATAATTTTAATCATACATAACTAATATATCTATACAATGATAATAAAATTAATATTTAATTACCTAATTGTGGTTCAAATATTTTTAACTTTTTAGTTAAAAACTTGCATTCTTCTCGCAAAATTAATAATTTTTCTTGATTTTGCGATATTTCATCACAAATGGCAGCATTTTCCTTAAATTAATTTGTAAAGTAAATATAATTAAATAAAAAGTTGTACAAAAAGTATACTATTTCAATAAATACTCATGAGAATTTATCTTATTTACCTATACTAGTATGGTAGTACATTACAAGCGAAGGATGAAATGATACTTTATATGAGTATTATAGTACCTTAATATTGTATACAATACTTTTAGTGGATAACACTAGAAAATATTTATTTTTAATTTATAAAATTATCTATTTTCAATTTTTTTATAGTAATTTAATTAATTTTTTTTTTATGTTTATTTTTTAATTTTAAACACGTACTACACTATATCTAAGGTTGTATTATAGAATATAATAATATAACATGTAAATACATCTATAAATTATATAAAGTTCTATTCTTATATTAAATCGCTTACATTTTTACATTTTTAAGCTTCAAGAGAATAAATTTATTATAATAAAATATATTATGTTATCCAACCTTTGAATATTTGTGTTTATTTGATTCAGTACAAATTTTTCAGAAATTTAAAACAAAGTATTTCCATATTTTTCCCAAGTAAAGTAGGAAATAAATTATTTGAAAACATTCTAGTTAATTTGTTATTTACATATTCCAATATTCCATTTAATTCAAGCTCAATATAACTAATTTAGAACTAATTAAGGTTTTAATTCACCGTTAATTATTTTGGAATATATTCAATAGCAATTATATATTGAAATTTTCAACTGCAATGGTGCAACATAAATATAAAACAAAAATTATTTTATTTTGTATACAATAATAAATTTTATTAAAAATCAATATTTACAACACTTGATGGAAAAAATTATTAAATGATTATTGAATATTTGAATAGTCAAGTCTTGTAAATGAGATTAGTATTTTATGTATATGGTACATAATATGATTTTGTATATTATTGGTTGATAAGACCACAATACTTTGAAAAAAAATACTTTAATATATTTGATTTAGTAAAATGACCTGATAAAGGATATAATAAGTCTAAAATATCTAACTGTAAAAATATATGTTTAATATAGGAAATAAATGATCTGTGGTTGTTTCTGCTGTATGATGACAAATAATAAGTTAATAATAAGATTTATTGTACTTACATATATCAAATCTTTAATAACCCTCTTCAATTTTCTACGTTTAAAATCGTATCGAATATTAGGATTATTAACATAATTATTAATCCAAACATTTCGGCTATCTACTACAGGACGCATTATTAAAATATAAAGTTAATTTGTAAATTTCAAATAGATATTCACAGTATTCAATAATCGATATAACAATATTAAGTTTGTAAGTTAAAATTGTTTAAATTGGATAATTAAGAACAACAAATCTCATAATATTAATACGTAAACATTAGAAACTAGAAAGTTAGAATAAAAACAAATATCATAACTCTTAAGTCGTGATAATAGATTATAGGAATTACAATAGATAATATATGTAAACAATATTTTATTGATACCAAAGTGGTTGATACTATGGTCATAGATAATAGTGTGTAAATAATAGATTATCATTCAAAAACATAATATTATTCTAATATTCATTTTTATAATTTATTATTATTATTATTATTATAGTATTGACTATTGAGTACTCTATTTGTAGTTGTCTAGTATATTATGTAGTCGTGATTCTAGTCTGCGTGCATAATATATTATGTTTTTGTCTACATTGTGTTTCTATTTGTCTGTAACTCTGAAAGACAATTTTATTAATTTTTGTCCATTCATAGTTGATCACTGATTTGAAAAATGAAAACAGTTTATTAATCATCACCACAAATCAAAAGTGATACTTAGAATGATGATTTGTCATGACTCATGATACTTATTAGTTATCAACAAATGCCACAATATTCTATAGGTATCTATAAATTGTAATAAATTATTTTGTATGTTATTTATTTATTTTTCATAATTTACGATTATCATATTTTTGACTTCACATAATAATTATTAAACTTACAACTATGTTCAAGTTTATAACTTCAGTTTAAATTGTATCAAGCGTTTCAATGAATGTTTTTTGTTTATGTTTAAGTTTGCGGACGATTATAATTTTGACTACATCAGTTGACATATGATTATCAGTCAATACCATATGGATGGCAGACATTTGTTTTAAACATATTAGAAATTTATATTTAATTTTAGAAACAATGATAGTAGGTATAGTTGTATACCATATGTTTGGTAAACGTTGTAGTATACTCTATTCTATTGAGAGAGGCTGAATAAGAATGACATTTTGGTCTTTTATGTAGGTAGCTATTGCCAAAATTAAAATTGTATATTTAGTCTATTTATCAAACAGAATTACACTGTCATACATTTTAAGTACCTAGGTAACTATAATTTGATTATTAACATAATTTGTTATGTGTTGAGATAATCATAAAAAATTGTACTCAAAATTTTTTTTGTTTACAGTTGCCATAGCTTAAATTTAAAGGAACAGTTTTGTCTATCGCTTACAAAATGTAGAAGAAAAGAACAGATTTAAGATGTGATTTTTATGTTTTTATGTATATATCGTGTTCTGGGCGCGGAAACCACAACTGTTGTTGAGTTTTGCATTATAAAATGATTATAATATAGTCTCTGACCGATTGTTTCTAACTTACATAAACATATTTGGCATGGAATATTAGGAATTAGATGACATCTAACTGGTTAATTTTACTAAATTAGACATACTAAATGTTGTGCACAAGTCAGTTTTAATAGTCAATAAATTTAAAGTAATCTTAATCAATTTGTCAGTATCAATTTTATTTTACAATTTATTTAAATTTAGTTAAAATCTTCAAACATTCTCAACCATTATTTCATTGATATTATCTAAGCACTAAATCATTAATTTGATTTTCATATCTACATTTCTGTCTGATAAAGGTTAATATTGGTAGATTCCAAGCTATTTACTATGTTATTTATTGTATTTAAAAAAAGTATATTGTTTAATAATGTAAATAACAAATTATTTTTATAGATACCCTGCATATTTATATTTTGTATTTTAAAGAACTAATGAAAATATTTTAAAAATTATTTTTATATTATTTTGTAAGAAACTTATTTTTCCAGAACCATCCTGCAGCATAATTAGTCATGCACTTGCCAGTTTTGATTGAATATTAAAAATTAAAAAACCATGGTTGGGGCGCACAGTTTAAGATAAAAATAAGCAAATTGATGTTATCAATTACACATATTTTTTTAAAAAAATTTAATCAGTAACACAATTATTTTGTAGATTGATTCATATTTTTACACCATGAAAGAGAATAGTTTGTAACTATTACATGATATATGTATAAAAAAGAGATTATTTTTCAACTGTCAACATTTATTTATTTTTAAAAATTTAGTTTTAGTAATAATATAAATACATAAAAAAATGTTAAAATAAAGAAGTTGGCAGTTGCTCTGTTATATAGTTGGTGTCAAGTGTATTCGTTATTGAGTAATTCACTTTAGTCTGTAATGGATGTGTTCAATTGGAATTAAATGATAAAACATTGCTTATAATAAACAATTTTGAGTGAAGATAGTCAGTCTATTCTTTTATAGATATTTTTAATACATTTTTATTGCTTTTAGGAATATAGGTTGAATTAATTTTTGATTAAAATAAACTACAATACATACCTAGGTATTATATTATAATATTATTTCACATAATATTACTACTTAGGTACTAGATAGCTGATATTAAGTATACATTAACGTACAGTAGAACGGTATGAATAGGTTTGTGGTGTAAATAGTTTAAATATAATTAAAATGTTGAAAACTTCATTGTATATAGGTACCTATCATTTTTTGTAAGAATATTAAATACTGGTAAAATTTAAAAAGTATTAAGTCATTATTTAAGTTATCTATTATTCATTTAAGACATTTTCAAAAACATACTTTAAGTACCTACCTATATATTTTTGATTAATTATATCTTTTTATTTTTATTTTGTTGTTTGCAATTAATAAATTATTCAGTCTTTTCTCTAACATCGTAAATCTTAAAAAAAATTGTAGTACCTATCACAAGAGGACACCATACACGCATGTGTTGTCTTCGTTTTACAAGTACCATAACATGACAAATTTACACTCAACGGATTACGTTTAGCTCTGTTAGTTTAAAAACTGGAGTGAACCGACCTATAATGAAACACGAAGGTAAGGACATATTATACGATCTGTGTTCGTATGTTGGTTTTTAGGATTGTTCAATTTGTTTGAAAATTATGCGTATATAATGAAGCGTAAATTAAAAATGCTCATAACTCACTTCAAAACTGATTAATCGTTAAAAACCAATATACGAACATGGGTAATGTTCTTATTATCAAGTTTCATAATAGGTCGATTCATTCTAATTTTTAAACAAACCGAGCTAAACGTGATCTGCTGAGGATAAATTTACTAAATTTGCTGTTATGTACTTACTAAAACTGTTATGTCTACTAAAACGTCTAAAGCAGTGACAACTCGTGCGGGTATAGTGCGGCGTCAATCAATTTTATGGTCCTACTTTTGCTAGTAGATAGCGCTAGTGAATTATATTCTAATTGTTGACAAGCATATTATTACCTTCAGTTTTCGAGTTCAAAATATTATTTGTTAACAATTACGTTAAGCAACTTTTCATGTTTGATTAAAACAAATGTTAATTTTGCATAACAATAGTATTATTCATATAATTTTATGGATTGTTTTATTTTTGATTAAGGAGAAGAACCATAGGTAGCGTGTTTTATCTTTTTTAGGATGGATACATTTAATATGTACTTACCTATAGGCAATGGGTATTTTCAATTCTATATTAACGCATTTTCTATTTTGATTGAGCCAATAGGCAAGATAAAAATTGAACATCAACACTGTATTAGTAAGGACATAATGTTATTTTATGCTAGGGATCATGGGCATTAAGTTTTCCTATACATTTCTGAAGTGGCAATATTAAAAATAATGGATTAGCAAGTACCTAAAACAAGAAATATTCTAAAATTTTTTACTTAAAACTGATTTCATTTATTAATTTAATTAACATTTAATGCATTTAATATTATAAGTATTTATAATTAATTGAATTTTATGAAATAAATATATCTAAAATATTTCATCAACGAGATATTAAATGAAACAACTAATTAATTTTTGAAGTAACAGTGTGTTACCTTTTAAATCTAGTCAAAATTGAAAATTGTCAAAATCACGAAGACGAACAAACTATTTAGTAATTAAAAATTTATAAAATATTCAATTGTTATGCCTAAGGCTTGAAAATTTAGTACAAAGTTCCCCATTTCTCCGTGAGTTTAATTCATATATATTAAAATAAAAATATTTAAAAATAAATAAGGCATAAGCCCTTTGAAATTTAAATTTGGATGGAATTAGAAAATTAAACGAAGAATAACGATTTTTATAACTTTTTGGTAACTCAAAAATATTATTCGTAAGAACTTGAAACTTTTTTTAACGTGCCTATATTAATATGTTTTATCCACACCATGAAATTTTCAAATGCAAAGTATTTTGCATTAATTCAACTGATTGTATTATTATTATTATTATTAAAAAATCAAAAAAAATCTAATACTCGACATACCTATTGTACAAGGAGAGCGATTACCTACTTTTCCTCTTTTTTAGCTTATAAATAAATATATAAGCATATTATGTATATAACATATCAGTATAATATTTCATAATGATTGATTTTAAATTGTTAACGCCCAGTCTTAGTAACTGGTAAATACTGCTTATTATTATTTAATTTTTCATTACCCGTGGTACATAAGAATAATATGAATATCGTTTAGCTATTGTATTGTATATAGTATTATAGTTAAACTCGTAAATTATCTCTTGCTTGTATTTAATTGTACATTTCATATAGGCAAGTAGGTACGAATATTGTACAAAGTTGACGTGCCTGGAATAATAATTATTACAAGTCATCATATTTAATAATTTAATATAATCACTAAACAATTACTGGTTAGGGCTACACATAATAAATAATTATAGTTTATACTCAAGAAAATTCCAAGTATATTACATTGAGATGTTATTTATACGTATTTTGTTTTGTATACTGTTAACAATAAACAAATGTTCGATTAACACGGTTTCTCTGATGTTAATATACAATTATCGTTTAATTCTGTTGATATTTTATTCATTCTTTATTGAATAATTTTTGGTATATTACTTATATGTAGTACCTAGGCTACTATGTACAGTATTATACTATACACTAGTAGATAGATTGCAGACAATACTCGTATGTACAGTAAGTGATAGCTAATGATGTGCAGACTAGAGGACAATAATATTCTCATAGC